TAGTAAAACAAATTAACAAAAATTACGTATCAATAACCTGAAGACTTTTCCCAACACCTTTCTAGTGATTTTATACACAGCAGTTTTGGGAGGTGTCCTCCTGGCATTGCTAATACAAGTGGCACTAATGACGTCACTGGCGGAGCGGCTAGCCCGGACCATTGTTATGCAAAACGTTTTAACGGCCCAATGGTTTCGTTCTCTGTTCTGTTTGCCGCCTTTGAAGGTAAGCTTTATTAAATTAAACTCTTTGGCCTTTCAAACAATTATAAATAGCGTAATACCGTCTCGGGGATGAAATTAACAAATGCTGTACTCTGTATAACGTTGGGCGAAATCGGTTTAATTTAAATTGTGTGAAAATTTACTGAAATAATTAGGAATTTAGGTGGAATAAACTATACGATATTTAAAAATTGTTCTCCACAATTGTAATACACAGTGATGCCTACAAAACAAATACACAGTAATGCCAACTCCTACAAATCGAATACACAGTGATGCCAACTCCTACAAATCAAATTCACAGTGATGCCAACTCCTACAAATCAAATTCACAGTGATGCCAACTCCTACAAAACACATACACAGTGATGCCAACTCCTACAAAACACATACACAGTGATGCCAACTCCTACAAAACATATACACAGTGATGCCAACTCCTACAAATCGAATACACAGTGATGCCAACTTCTACAAATCAAATTCACAGTGGTGACAACTCCTACAAATCAAATTCACAGTGATGCCAACTCCTACAAATCAAATTCACAGTGATGCCAACTCCTACAAAACACACACACAGTGATGCCAACTCCTACAAATCAAATTCACAGTGATGCCAATTCCTACAAAACATACACAGTGATGCCAACTCCTACAAAACACATACACAGTGATGCCAACTCCTACAAAACATATACACAGTGATGCCAAGTCCTACAAATCAAATTCACAGTGATGCCAACTCCTACAAAACACATACACAGTGATGCAAACTCCTACAAAACATATACACAGTGATTCCAACTCCTTCAAATCAAATACACAGTGATGTCAACTCCTACAAAACATACACAGTGATGCCAACTCCTACAAATCAAATACACAGTGATGCCAACTCCTACAAAACAAATACACAGTGATGCCAACTCCTTCAAAACACAGTGATGCCAACTCCTACAAAACATATACACAGTGATGCCAACTCCTACAAAACATACACAGTGATGCCAACTCCTAAAAAACATATACACTGTGATGCCAACTCCTACAAAATAATTGTAATTGGTTTTGAATTATAAAGTCATTCATTTATGTCTAATGGGTTAATTATAATTAATTTAAAAAAACGTAGCTACAAAATTTAATGTATAATTAGTTAACTGATTTTAGAATTGGGCTGTGCCTTTTAAGTAGATGGAAATTATAAAAAAAAAATAACAATTGTAGGAATAATATTTTGCTATATACTGTGGAAACTGATAATTGGCCATCATTATATTAATTGTATATCATTGAACCTTTTTTTTAGCTGTAAGTTTCCCTAAAATTGTAAAATAAAATTATGTATAGGGCGGATAAGGGTGTGTCATGGGGGTTTAATCCCCCTCCTAGTGCTTGGTCAGAGTCGTTGTATCACAAATATTGGAACTTATATAAAACATGTCATTAGTAAATATTAATTATATTATTAGGTCTGGTTCTTAGGTTTTTGTATCTCTTACCTGATGTTTTTTTCTAATAGACTTCGATCAGCCTTCTGAGCTTGACACACGCCGTTAACTTTTTGGGTCTAAGCATGCCTCATGATGATTTCTATCCAGCGAGTGTTAAATACGCACATAGAAAGTTTATAATGTATAAAGATATTCATTCTTCAAATAATTATTATTGATAGATTATGTGTTAAAATTATACAAATCCAAATCAATTTAACTAGTGCATTATAAACACTTAAACTTGTGTATTCTGTTTATTCATTAAAAAAAAATGTTTATGCTAAAGAACGGGAATTATAAATGCGCCCTTGTGTATAGAACAATTTAATGTATTTCAGGATTGCCGCATTTACGAAACGATAAACGAGGATTTACAACAAGAAGATGAGGTGCCAACGCCAAGAAATCTAGAACAGATGCAGACTGACAACGTCCAGCACAGCGAAGTAAGGGAGCTGGCTGAAATAACCGATAAGACTTTGTTCTTCATCTACTCTGTGGCATTTAGTGTTATGTTAAGTCTACATTTTTAAATAAAACTTTTTTAATATAAAATTTCCTTCCTGTAAATAAAGTTATAAAATATTTTTATCTTTATATAATTTTATTTGCAAGATCGGGCCGTTTCGATGCGTCATTAAATCGGCGCTTTATAACGAAAGTAGTAAGTATATAATCATTACTATTTTTTGATAAGATAAAGGGTTTAAGTTAAGTGTTCTTTAGTTCATTGATTTATTGCAGTATACGTGACCAATCATTACTCAATATTAAAATATATTTCATAGTATTGCCTAAAACTAAATTATTTAAAATAAATAAATCAGTGGCGCTACAACGTCTCTAGGTCTGGGCCTCAGATTTCTGAAAACTAGGACCTCAGGGATGAGAGTCGCAAGTAAAAAAATATTAAAAGAACCACTAAGGAGTTTTTCTGGTGTTTTTCATTGTTTAACCTTGGTTTCTGAAGGGCCATACTACAGTAAAAATTCCTTTACTTAGAAACAATATAGTTGATGAGTATACATACAATCGATACAAAAAGATTAAACGAACACAGAATTTTGTTTTTAGATAGATCTATCTTAAATTTATGGAGCTAATCACAAAGGTTGTCCAAAAATACCTTTTTGCAAAATAATTAATAGACTATTGCAAAATAATTTCTTTTACCTTTATTTCATTTATAAATTACATTTATAATATTATTTTACCTTGTATCGAAGAAACGATGTTTTACAACGAAAACCTTATTTAACCCATAACTTCCCTAAACCTTGTTTATTAAAATACAAATTTAATGATAACCATAATTGCCGAGGCCCAAGATCGAACGCGATAGAGACTCACTGTGGACGCCCTCTGCCCCATCTAAGGCTATTAAGTAAGTAAGTAAGTATAATTGTTAAATATTTTGAAGAAAATTGGAATATATATAATGTGATTTCCTTGAATCAATAAGTATAAATAAAATAGGTACCAAGCTGGTTCACCGAAATAATTCACACTTTATATATTCGTCATATCGTTAAGAAACATCAAAATCCTAACACATTCGGACGAAAATTGAATTTTTAAAGCCCACATAAGCTTTTATGTGGCGCGCTCTAGTTTTATTTTAAGGGAAACATTGCGGTAATAATTTACAAGGCTGGACGGCCGCTCGAATGAAAGTCGAAAAAATGTCTCTACCAAATGCGTCGAGAGTTTTTTACTATTTGCATGGTGATGGCTAAATGGATTCCGCAGTACAGAAAGTCCTTTTGACGTTCCAACACGTGTAACTTTAAAATTGTGAGACTAAGCTGATTGGTTCAGCTGTCAGGAGTCACTCGAATTAATAAAACACATACTATCTTTTATATATATTTATCACTATTTTATATCTGTAGAACTTTAAGCGTAAAATCCATTTCAACAATCACAAAGAATAATTATTGCGATTCTTAAAAGGACATATTTATAATTGGAATGTATAAGTATACAGAAATTAAAATGTTTAAGTTTTTATTATCATGTATTATTATTAGATTTCTATATTCTTTTTAAACACTGGTGCATCCGCAATTAGTAAAATTCTACGTTTATTCTTAACCTTCAAAATGTATATTTACTTGTTTTGTATAACATAATAGTTACACATAATATTATGCTGTCGTTAACTATTGTAGGCTTTATCAAACTCTACAACCTTTCTCTAGAGCTCAATCATATACATATCTCTCAACGACAAGGCAAAAAGTAAAAGTAAAAAATAATAATAATATCATCATCTAGGTAACATAATGTACGCTTATGACTCGTCAGTAAAGAAAATTTAATGCTTCTAATTTTACATCTACTGCCAGTTCTCAAATCAAGGGCGTAGAACGGAAGAGAAGTAGAAGAAAACTCTCAGCTACTCTTTTTAATCGCCATTTTTTTTACACAACGTTTGTAAGGAGCTGCAACCATTACACCATGTTCCACATGACATATCAAGTAATTAATAATAATAACATAAATTAAAAAAAAACAAAGACTTGTCCTCTATCAGCAGGAGGCATGGTGAAATAGGAGCACGCACTTACATTCTCGTGGGAACAACACGCAAACTCATAGTCGGAATACGTAGTCGAAATAACCAACATCAGCGTACGTTTTCCTTCAACCCTTTTTTCAAAGCCGACTTTCACAAAAAAGTCTAATATTATAACACTCAATATACCACGTTATTATTGAGTGTTTGTTTCTATTTGTAAAAAAAACAAAATCGGTTCAGTAGATTCAGTGATTACCCGTACAACGTCGCAAACATTACCACTTTATGTTATTATTATACTTATTAATGTAGATTTACATTAATTTATTTTGTACATTTATTATTTTAGTTTAAAAGCGTTCTAAATTCTACACAGAATCAATAAACAATATTGTTTACAATTGACGTTAAACTACAAATTCTAAGAATGACAGTGCGAATAGACTAATTGAACCCATATATTAATGAAAGGATTAAGGGATAACAGTTAGTTAATATTATGCTAATAAGTTTATCACGTTAATTAGATGATGCATTAAAACAAAGGCAAGTAAATGTTTTATTAGTAGTAGCAATAGCTTTAAACACTCAAGCGTTATCAATTGGTAAGGATTAAGAACGGATCTTAATCAATAACATCAATAAATTTCAATCAAAACCGATCCGATTACAATCTTAAGTATATCACAAGCTTACAGCAATACTGATAAAGATTATTTAAATAGTGATTGATTGTTGTGGATGCAGGATTGAAGATGTTTTATAAGTTAATAGTGTTGTGCCTGTTGTGTGGTGGTTTAGCGGAAAGTAAGTATTTATGAATTCATAAATTTTGTATAGCGTTACTACTGTAAATCCCGAGATAGTGCATAAGGTAAGGAATATTGTGTTGAAATCAGCTAGACAGACCTAAACTTTTACGGCGTGTGACATTTTAAAAAAACGTGTGTGTACACCCGTTAGAAGTTATACTTCTTTGGCGTAAAAAGATGCAAATCTTTTCAAAAATTGTATTCTACGTTTGTAGAAAAAACGACACTAAATAGAAAAAACTAAAATGTTGACTGTAGCTACCGTTAGGCTGTCGGGTTTTTGTGACGGTGTGCGCATCGTAAAAATTTATATTTCCCTAACGCGCCAAAGGAAGTTTAACTTCAAAAACTGAACAATGACCGTTTTCTTGATCAGTTATTTATTATTATTTAGAAGTCTGAGACCAAGAGGATAGGTACTACTAATTCCTTTGAGTTATTATATCTCGCTTTCTTGATATGCTACATGAAAATAGTCTGTGGATTTGGATGCAAGCATACTTACATTTGAATTTTGAATATTCCAATTACTTGCTTGTGTGTGTTCGGGATAGATTCATCAAAGGATATCAAGTTAAGCGTGAAACAAAGGAATTTCACCTAAGTTAGCATTTATTCCATTGCTTTATAGTTCATTCATGTTATTTCCCTATATTTTTTAGAAAATGTAATTTGCTATTATGGAACATGGGCGACGTATAGAAACGGTTTGGGTAAATTCGACGTTAACAACATCAACACAGACCTTTGCACGCACTTGGTGTATGCATTCGCTGGCATCAACTCTCAAGGAACCGTTATATCACTGGACCCCTACTTGGATCTTCCCGATAATTGGGGGCGTGGTAAGTTTAAGTTTAGAAAACATATTCGAATCTTCGACATCAGATGGCAACTATTCGTTGACTTTGAAAATTAATAGCGTTGAAGAATATAATGTCTTATCAATGTTAGGCCTTTTCGTCATTTGGCTGAAAGTTCAAAAACTATAACCAGGGCTAGTAAGTAAATATGACGTCATCCAGTTGGATACTTACGATAGTGAAACAAATTAGTAGCAAAACAAAATTTAGTTTGAACGATCATTTCAGCACGAAGATAGTGATCAAAAACAGTTGGTCAACAGAGATACGTAATAACCAAGTTAGTATACATAAGATCTCGCTAGCCGTTGTATTGTTATAAAGTATGTACTTACAATTTGGTCGAATTAATCACTTTTGCAAGCCAACTCAAACTTTACAAATAAGCATTTAATCCATCAAAATATTTCAGATAATTTTCGCAAATTCAACGCATTGAAACAAAAGAACAGCAAGTTGAAAACTATTTTGGCTGTTGGCGGTTGGAATGAGGGCTCCGCAAAGTATTCGATTGTAAGTTACTGTTTTGTTTACGAATGGTTAAACGCTGAAAGTTTAGTTGCTATTTCGGTGAACTTCTATTAGGCACTGGTGCTGCATTGTATTAAGGTGAACAAAATGCTTCTTCGTGTAATAATATTGTTAATAAATTCTTTAAATGTTAGAATATCTACCTAAGTTCGTATCCTTTGTCTAAAACCGTATAAAACATACTTATTTTGATACATGAAAGATTTGATCCACAAATGAATGTGACCTCTTATAGCTTCAGTGTAATCGTCCCGCATAATTGTGTGTACCCACAAAGTTTGATTGTTTCATATTCTTTAGTTCATTTTCCCCTATGTATTTTATTAAGATAATAAAATAAATTAGTGGCGCTACACCCTTTTTATGTCTGGGCCCTCAGATTTCTGTATCTGTTTCATGATCATTTGCCAATCTAATGGCAAGTAGGTGATCAGCCTCATGTGCTTGACATACGCCGTCGACTTTTTGGTTCTAAGGCAAGCCGGTTTGTTAAATGCCCACATAGAAAGAAAGTCTATTGGGGCACAGCCGGGGATTGAAACTACGACATCAGGGATTAGAGTCGCACGCAAAAGGCTAACGCTGCTCATACACTGCTTATTAGGTTAATAGAAATCTTAATAATCATAGATTTTTTTAAACTGAATGTTATTATAGATGGCAGCGAACGCCAACCTCCGCAAAAACTTCATATCCAGCGCTATCCATATGATAGTTACCTACGATTTTGATGGATTAGATTTAGATTGGGAATACCCAAATCGCAGGGATACGGTCCATGGAAAACCCGATGTAGACAACTTCACAAAGCTTCTTAAAGAACTCAGAACGGAATTCGACAAATATGGTTTGATGCTGTCTGCTGCTGTGGCGTCTACAAAAGCTACCGCGTCGTTGTCCTACGATATACCTTCGATAGCGCAGTAAGCTTTATTTCTCCTTATAGTATTGTTTATAAGATTATGAAAAGTTAACGATTATCTAGTTGATAAAAGGGCCTTAGACTAGTGCTAGACACGCTACTTCTAATTAATTTGCGATATTTGTTTTAAAACAAGTGTTGTTTGATGATTTGGCTATTTTACACCCTCTATCTTCTTTGCCAATGAGTAGGGATGCCTAGAGATTCAAATTTAATGACGTGGTATAAGTGATACCTGTATCTTATGTTCCATAATAAACATATTTTTTTTACTGAACTACGACTAGCAGTAGGCGTCATTATGAATAGGCAAATGATTTGCCTTCACGGATTTCTGTTGCGTTTTTTATACATTGTAATTTTGGGAGCGACGATTCTTTTGCGTAACCGGTCCGTTTTGTTGGATAACGTTCGTGCGATCTTTTGCCTTATCCATTTGAATTCAGTAGAGTTATTAAATACTTGGTTATTTGTTTGGTTGGTTTTTTTTAAATCGCTGATTATGAACCAACAAGTAAGTATATTTCAATTACATTAAAATAAATAATAAATTTTAATAACACACAAGTCACATACTAATAAGACAAAAGCAAACATCGTTTTCGTCGGATCTCTATGCAGACATCTATCGATATATTGCTTTTCACATGTTATATTCAAAGGTCTTAAATAATTTCTTATTTCAGATATTTAGATATAGTTGGAATTATGACATACGATATGTATGGGCCATGGGACGCAGTCACAGGCCATAATGCGCCGCTTTACAAAGGCGAAGGAGATGAGAATTCGCCTAGAGAATCCTTGAATACACTCGACGTTGCTGTGGAGTACTGGCTGTCACAAGGTAATATTAATTTAAATTAATAATAAATAAATGTCTACAAGATAACTCATAAAAAACTGTGTTCACTTCGCTTAGGCCCGAGTGCAGCAGTGTACCAGGATTGATTCATTCAATCCTGTGCTAAAGTAAACAGTTACCAAACATAATAATAATTATTTATTTACACTTTGTTGATAAAATTGTTTGTTGTAAAAATTTAACATAATTCATGTATAGGAAAGGCAACTGGCGCCTTTATCGCTTTCGAGCGATCTCTTCGAGCCTTAAAGTGTATTCAATCATAAAATTAAAAAGGGCACATGCCGTCCATTGCAATGACCCATGTAAGGGCATTCCAGCTTTCCCACTATAGCCGCCAGTATACTTTTAGGGATGATGATAATTGGTTTGATTATTAATAAAACAATTATATTGATAAACTGGAAAAGTTAAGGATTGACGTACCGCCTCCATCATGTATAATCTGAGGGTCCTAGGTTATATTCCTAGTTAAATTTTTTTTACTAATGGAAGCAGAATGTGTCTGTGGCCCATTGGCCACTGTTAGACTATACTCGGGATTTGTACAAATGTATATTATCAATAGTCAAAAAAAGTCAAAATCATTTATTCATAAAGGTATCAAACACAATGTAATATATAAATAAATAAATACATATTAAATGCTTCTAATTTTACATTTACTGCCAATTCTCAAATCGAGGGCGTAGAACGGGAGGGATGAACTGGCAATAAACTCTCCGCCATTCTTTTTAGGCGCCAATTTTTTTGTTTTACACAATGTTTGTAAGGAGCTGCAACCATTACACCATGCTCCACATGCCATGTTTAGTAATCAATAGTTAATTAATCATAATAAAATAAATTAAAAACAAAGATTTGTCCTCTTACACCAGGAGGCATGGTGAAATAGGAGCACGCACTTACATTCTCGTGGGAACAATACGCAATCAATATATTATCTTAATATGTATCTATTACAATTTTTTTGCTATTGTAAGACATTTTTATAACAGATATTTTACACCCGCAATAACTTAATAATCGTTAAAATCATGACAGAGGCTCTTAAAAAATTGCAGGTTTTAATTTAAATTTTTTTAAAACAATCAAAGGCGTAGCAAAGGAGAAGAACTGGTAAGAAACTCTCAACCACTCTTAAGCGCTAAATTGGCTTAAAAAGAAAACACCCATCACGCCAAGCTTTACTTTTCCAGTAACAAACGCTTAGCATCAGCAAGCAATATAGTAGCACGCACACATGAGCGAGAACAAAACGTTACACACTTCTAACGACTGCTTTAATGTTTTATTTTTAGGCTTTCCACCAGAGAAGCTTGTCATCGGCCTCCCATTTTACGCCCACACCTTTAATCTTGTTAATCCAAAACAAAACTCAGTTAGGGCACCATCTTATGGTGCGGGGATTGCGGGCCCGTATACCGCTACCAATGGTAATATTGGCTATAATGAGGTAAGAAACTATATATATAAATGAATCGAAAATATGCTAAGCTGAAAAATCGAAGACAATTCAATAATTTTTTTTGAATCCTTGAACCCTGGGTAAGGTTTTTTGGATAAAAACTTTACTTAACTTTACGGTACTGTAACTAACCCGTCCAAATAACCACAATCCAAACTATAGTCGCTGGTCGTTGTTATCTGAGTTGGAGACAAACACAGAAACTTTCAGTTTTAAATAAAATAACATAGATCTGGCTTACATGGGCACTAATAACACTTCGTTGTATGATGTGTCATACACAGCAACCGGTGCTTAAGCACTAGTGCATCGGGCGGTTTATCCGCGACCTCATTATTGTAAACATCATTTTAAAATATTAACATACGTACTCGTATATGAGAAGTACTTGAACCAATTAAACAAAGAACGTGTCTCGGTTAGGGCATTGCTCTAGTAAGCTGCCACGCGCCCGAAAGTTTTATTTCACTTAACTGTTGAGTTAATTCGTTATTTCTAAGATGAAAGTTTCCCTAGTTAACTATCAACGGCAGTCTTGTAATGAAGTTTTTAGTTAACTCATTTACAAATTAAGACCTTTGATAAGAACTTCACTTTAATTAAATGCGTCTTAAATTAAGTTTAACAAGAAATGTCACTTTAGTTTAGTTTATGGAAATATTTTCCTAAAAGAACATCCTTAAAATTCCTCTCTTCGACACTCATTCATTCGTCATACGACACCATTAATTTTCACTTTTAATTTTCACAATATTATCGCTACACTATAGAAAAATATCAATAATTTCAATATATTTAAAGTTTTTCTAAATATTAAAAACTTGCTGACCCGGCGAACTTCGTACAGCATAACAGTCAAGGAATGTCGTGTTACAGTTTAGCTGAGCTTCATTTATGATTAAATGAAAGTCATACAAATATGAGTGAAGTGTTGACCAAAAGTGGCTTCAGCGTGCGACTCTCATCCCTGAGTAGGTTCGATCCCTGGCAGCGCACCAATGAAATTTCTTTCTATGTGTGCATTTAACATTCACTCGAACGACAATGGATAACATCGTGGGGAAACCGGCTTGCCTTCGACCCAAAAAGTCTACGCCGTGTGTCAGACACAGCAGGCTGATCACCTACTTGCCTATTAGATTGGCAAATGATCATGAAAAAGATACAGACATCTGAGGCCCAGACCTAAAAACGTAGCACCACTTATTTTTTTAATACACAGAAAAAATAAATATTAAGTTGTAGTTATATGGTTATAGACCAGTGCCGATAATTTTTGAAACCTAAAAAAATAATAGTAGGATGAAACCTATTGGAAAAGAAGGAGAATATTATAAAAATTAAAGGAAAAATAAATTACGGGCGATCTGAGGTCGGGAAGGGGTAGGGGGGAGTTTTATGGGTAAAAAACGGTTTATCTCGATTTCCGGCAAAACTAGAAGTCCTATCGAAGAAAGTTAAATGGCAAAGTTGTAGGTAATTAAAAGATCTAAAACTTTTGTATTCACACATTTTTCACATAACCTCAAAATTTATGTGAAAAATTCAAAAAACCAAGTTTTTGGTTTTTAATTTTGAATCTTTTACAAAAATATTTTTTTTTAACGAAATTTGGTGAAGAAAAGTAAGGAAGGGGATGACAGGTCTGGGCGTTACTGCATACGATTTTTTGCGTTTTCTGAGAAGATTTACTATGGTAATATATATATATATTTTTTTACCATAGGAAAGTAGAGATTTCAACGAACTGAAAGCACACCAACTTTTTGAAAAAAGCTGAAATTTTGACGTCAGAATTTTCGATTGAAAATTAGGGTGTTTTTTCGATATTAATTCAAAATAAGGTGAACGAATAAATATTTTTAATCAAATAAATTACAGTGTATTTGGGACATAGAAAGGTAAGTTTTCACCAAATTTCGTTAAAAAAAAATATTTTTGTTAAAGATACAAAATTAAAAACCAAAAACTTGGTTTTTTGAATTTTTCACATAAATTTTGAGGTTATGTGAAAAATGTGTGAATACAAAAGTTTTAGATCTTTTTATTACCTCCAACTTTGCCATTTAACTTTCTTCGATAGGACTTGTAGTTTTGCCGGAAATCGAGATAAACCGTTTTTTACCCTTAAAACTCCCCCTTCCCCTTCCCGACCTCAGATCGACCGTAATTTATTTTTCCTTTCATTTTGATCATATTCCCCTGCTTTTCTAATGGGTTTCATCCTACTGTAATTTTTTTCACTTTTTATTTATTTTAAAGGCTATCTGCACTGGTCTATTACAAAATAATACAACAATATATCCTTTTTCATTACTGACATTATTTTACATTTTTAAAATCTAAAATACGCCGTTATCCGAATCTTGTCGTTTCGCCACCTTTATTTAATACGTTTTTTAATTTGAGGGGAGAGTTTACCGTATCGACGGGATTAACTTTAAATGACTGTCAGTTACGAATACCCATAAACGTTTTGTATTGGAAAATTTTATTTTTTTTTATTTTTTCGTCAACGGAGACTAATATACGTACAACAAATCAAAAACCAAATCGGTCCAGCCGTTCTCAAGTTATAAGTGTTCAAAACCTACTTTGTTTTATTAATAAAGATAATATTCTATAACTTAACAATTAAAACTTATTAATCATTTTACATCACTAACTGGCATCAATGTAAATAATTATCATCTAATTATCCTAATCCCATCATTTCAGTTTTGCGATCTACTCCGCACACAGTCTTGGACCACAAAGTTCGACGATTTAGCCAAAGTGCCATACGCGGTACAAAACAGAAACTGGGTATCGTACGATGATGCCGCATCACTAACATCCAAAACTTTATATGCCTTGAAACAAAACCTTGCTGGAGTTATGGTATGGAGCATTGAGACTGATGATTTTCATGGTTCATGTCACGGAGAGGACTTTCCGTTACTTAGAGCGGTCAATCGAGCTCTATCTAATGCGTCAAACCCTGGAATTACTACGACAATCACTCCAACCACTTTACGACCCACTTCAAATGCAACTACAACAACAGGTATTACATTCTGGTTTCTATATAGTGGTTGTCGTTTCCATACGTCTATTATAATACGAATTATTTCATATTTTTTCAAAAATTCAGTTAAAAAATAGAAATTGTTTTTGTAGCTAAGTCACCCGGTTTCATAAGCACTTATGCGGTATTAGTCTAGTCGACAAGTTGAAAATGGAACAAAATAGAGATACTGCTCTTAAAATTATGTGCGATAGCTCATTCGAACCGGAATGACGCCTAGAAAAATGTGCTAAAAGCGTGTATTAGCACATAAAAAATTGCAAAGTTATAGACCATTAAAGATGAAAAAAAATGGAATTTAGTTTTTTGCCAATATTTAATAAACTATTAATATTTAAGAAATTTCAAATAAAGATTCTGAAAGAGGAGGAAATTTCCAATAAAAAACTCTCAGCTCCCGGAACTCTATCTCCATTATTTATAACTTTAATTTAACGCTGAAAATAGGTCTGTGCGTGACATTTTTAGGATTCGCGCGTGGCGTCAAAAGCGACTACGGCACATTAATTAATTTATTTAAGGTATTGAATATTTTTTTTTTAAATTTGAAAAAATTATGGTGTGTTCTGAACACTATAATTAATTTATTCCCGTTGGAAATTTTACTTAAAGTTAATTTTTCAACAAGTTAAATAATTGTTAACTAACGAAATTTTCTCGAACGACCGTCTTAATTGTAAGTGAAAAAAAATGTTTTAATAATGGTCGTAAAAATATTTCGCTTCGTAGAGCCTTTCTTACATACATACTTAACAAGATCGTGCCATAAAAAGTTAAAGAAATATTTATACTTTGTTTATAACAATTTTTTACTTAAACAAAAACTTAAAAATCCAAGTAATGTTGTTAAAAATTTTTTTTTTTCTAAATCATCAAATTATCGTTTTTATATTAATACAAGATATTTATTGATTTGCAAAAAAAAATTTCCCGCCATTTGTTGATAATTTTTTTTAAACAAATTGATTAAATCAATTGTTTTAAAAAAAAAATTCACAACTTTATTACATTACAAATATTATGATTGTTTAAAAAAAAAATTTCCTTAATAACATATTTTAATTGTTTATAATCGTTTTTTTATATTTCTATTGTTTAAATAATTAGTTAAGAAATTTTTTTTTCTAAAAATCATAATTGACAGTCCTCTATAAAGTAACAAAAAATTTTTTTTTTTAATCAACAATTCTATTGTTTATTAACTTACCAATTTGTTATAAACAAATGTTCAACTTTTATATTTTTTTCTAAAACTTCTAAAATTAACAAAAACAAACATATATAACAAAGTCTATAAAAAAAAAAAAATTTTTTTAATAAAAGTAATATTCATGATAATCAAAAAATTTAAAAAAATGTTTTTCTATATTTTGTTATATATGGTTGTTTTTGTTAATTTTAGAAGTTTTAGAAAAAAAATATAAAAAGTTGAACATTTGTTTATAACAAATTGGTAAGTTAATAAACAATAGAATTGTTGATTAAAAAAAATTTTTTTCTGTTACTTTATAGAGGATTGTGAATTATGATTTTTAAAAAAAAAAAAATTTCTTAACTAATTATTTAAACAATAGAAATATAAAAAAAACGATTATAAACAATTAAAATATGTTATTAAGGAAATTTTTTTTTTAAACAATCATAATATTTGTAATGTAATAAAGTTGAGAAATTTTTTTTTTAAAACAATTGATTTAATCAATTTGTTTAAAAAAAATTATTAACAAATGGCGGGAAATTTTTTTTGCAAATCAATAAATATCTTGTATTAATATAAAAACGATAATTTGATGATTTAGAAAAAAAAATTTTTTAACAACATTACTTGGATTTTTAAGTTTTTGTTTAAGTAAAAAAATTGTTATAAACAAAGTATAAATATTTCTTTAACTTTTATGGCACGATCTTGTTAAGTATGTATGTAAGAAAGGCTCTACGAAGCGAAATATTTTTACGACCATTATTAAAACATTTTTTTTCACTTACAATTAAGACGGTCGTTCGAGAAAATTTCGTTAGTTAACAATTATTTAACTTGTTGAAAAATTAACTTTAAGTAAAATTTCCAACGGGAATAAATTAATTATAGTGTTCAGAACACACCATAATTTTTTTCAAATTTAAAAAAAATATTCAATACCTTAAATAAATTAATTAATGTGCCGTAGTCGCTTTTGACGCCACGCGCGAATCCTAAAAATGTCACGCACAGACCTATTTTCAGCGTTAAATTAAAGTTATAAATAATGGAGATAGAGTTCCGGGAGCTGAGAGTTTTTTATTGGAAATTTCCTCCTCTTTCAGAATCTTTATTTGAAATTTCTTAAATATTAATAGTTTATTAAATATTGGCAAAAAACTAAATTCCATTTTTTTTCATCTTTAATGGTCTATAACTTTTGCAATTTTTTATGTGCTAATACACGCTTTTAGCACATTTTTCTAGGCGTCATTCCGGTTCGAATGAGCTATCGCACATAATTTTAAGAGCAGTATCTCTATTTTGTTCCATTTTCAACTTGTCGACTAGACTATATGCCCGCCTTCCACTGCGAGCGGAACGGACCCATTACGGACTCCGCTATACTCGTAACGATGATTTTCCACACTAATTCTCTTAAAATAGGTTTACAATATTTTGTTTACATTAGTTAAATAATTATTGTATGTGAAGACAATGTACACTTAGAATAAAACTACTATTCCTCACATATTTGTATATATAAATATTCGTCACATATTTACAAATATCGAAACCGTAGAATATTATACATTGAAGAGTAATAAAAATAATATAAAAAAACACAATAAAACAGTGTGTGAGATAAAATAAAATAATTACATTTTGTAATATTATAAATTTAAAAAAAATAACAAAAATATGTAAAAGCAAAAAATCAGCAACCAATTTGATTTTGACCAGGCTCTATGATTGTCCTATGGAGCAGAATGTAGGGTGTGGGTATGTATTTGTATGTGTGTGTAACCGACACAACTCCGCATACAGACTCGCCTGTTTACTATGCCGACAACGAATTATATCATATTTCCATACAACGCGCTGAGGCAATGAGAACTTAGAGAAACGATCGCGGGTAACACAGAAGGCAAATGATCACGTGGCCGTTCACCAACCAAATGAAATACTCATCGTCCTCAAAACTATACACAGAGGTGCGCTGGACAGAAAGCGGTGGAAACAGATTGTCCGCTCCTTTCTGCCCACGACGCTCATACATGAGCTACCGACTATAAGAGAGAGAGTGTAACCGAAGCGTGTGTGTTAAAATCCTGTGAAATATGTACATTAAATATTTAATTTTTCAGTTCCCCTAACAACGATCAATCCTGAGTTCACCTGCAAAGGGTTCGGTTGGTTCCCTGATCCAAAGAGTTGCAGATCGTACTTCGTGTGTACCTCAACAGGGGATGGGTCGTATAAGCCCCACTATTTTCTGTGTCCCAGTAATCTATATTGGGACCAGTCATTAATGGCATGTAATTATGCAAGCAATGTAAAATGTAGTGTCTCCGTTTCCTAAAAATACTTTTGACATTTCCCTTTTATTCTGTGTATCAAACATATTATCATAATTTAATTTTAGCCCCCATATTGTTTATGCATGTAATCAGTAATATTTATCTATAAATGCACCAATAAATTATAAAATTAAAAAATGGTTTTATTCGTCAAAGTTAATGGAGTGGGTACACATTAAAACCTTATTTTAATATTTATTTAATAATTAATATTTATTTATTATTCAAACTTCGTATAATAAACTACAAGCTAACAAGCCATCTCATCCCGGCACCCCTAGTAAGGGAAAAATTAAAAAAATAAAAACTAAGGCTAAAGTGCATAAAGTCCATAACCAAAGCAACAAAAATAAAATTACAAGTAACACTGAAAAATTATCCAATTACTCAACTTAATCTTAAATAAAATAAAATATACTATAAGCTAAAGTTAGGATCTTGAATCACAATGCAATACAAAAGAATAAGAAAATACAAAAGTTACGATTGATCAGGATCGCGAAGAATGATATATCTCAGATACCATCATTCATCTGAATTTTAGCTTACCTTTACCTTACCAAAGCACAATGTGAAAGATTAGGCGTAACCCAGAGAACCATAGAAAGAAGTATTATAAAGAAAAGAATAATTGACAAAATAAGTAACAATAATTTAAGAGATAAAACAGAGTTTGCTGACGTTACATATAAAACATATCAACTAAAATGGAAATCGGCTGGATATACCATAAGAGGAGAAAATAAATGAAGCAAAATTGTAACACTATAGCAAGAAGAGGCCATAAAAGAAACAGAGGTAGGCAATTTAAAAGGTGGGCCGATGAAATCATGGAAATGGCTGGAAAGTCTAAGACCTGGGCGAGATTGGTATACAATAAGAAAAAAAGGAGGACAATGAGGAGGTCATTGCCCGAAGGCACACAGAATCGTCGTAGATTAAGAAAAAAATAACTATAATGTACATATCTTTTGAATTTCTGATATAAATAAATAAACCTCATTTGTCAGGAATCAGATTTGTCTTTCGGGTTTTATGTGTTACCTAGTAGTTATATAGAGACTATATCCTTTTTGATTTTCATAGATACCGTAACATAATACCATAATACCGAGAAAGTACATCTGTTAAAAATATCAGCCTTGCGATTCTGCAACTCACTTTTCGAACTCACACAGCGGTTTTCGCATCGGCGGTCTCTCTCAAATCAGTCGTGAAGAAGTCATTTTATGATTTGGCATTCTGAAAAGGTGGGAGCTTGTAGTTTATTGTTTAAAAAACCGCTGTGTGAGTTCGAAAAGTGAGTTACAGAATCGCAGGGCTGTAGTACCATTACTGTTGGTTTTTGTAGTAGTATAAAGTATTAAAAAGTGCAAATCTTAAATCAGGACTACGAAATTTTGACGTTGTAAATTCCTGTTGTACTTCACAGCTATATTCACGTATTATTATAATAAATGATGTCTGTCACAGATGCTAACATAGTTAATCTTGTCACTTGACTTTGAAGTTGGGAATTGTTATCAAAGTATGATCATTTAAAGGCGTGTTAATAACTTGTTGGTTTTCTGGTAATTCCGTTTTAGATATTTATTTATTAACAATTCCACTACGAGAATGGTGTATATATAATATAATACTTTAATTGGTGAACCAATAAAAAATAACTTATTTATCCACCTTAATAGATCTTTAGAATTCCGAGATAATGAACTAGCATTTGCCCAATATCGCTAGGAAATGCTATATCTCAAATACATGACATATGGTACAGCAAGCTTACGTATAAATAAAATCAACTGAAACAACACCCATAAAATATAGAGGCGCTTTATGTAATCGCTTGAACCGAGCCATTATTGAGAAATCTTAAAAGCAATTTTGCTTAAAAAATCTATAAGGTGGCACAGATGTCGCGAACACTTTGCAAATAACTGTTTTATTGCCGTCACTTCTTCACTGGAACGCCTAAAAACGCGCAGAGAGACAAATTTGTTTTACGTGATGCTTTTGCATTATGTAAGAACTTTGAAGTCTAAGAGTCGATAATGCGTGAAATAGTATTACTGCATCTATTTTACTTACTAACTAAAATGGATATATGGTATCCAAATGAAACAAATTATTGAAGTTATACATCTTTAGGCGCGTTATGAAAAATTTATGAGAGTGAAATTTTATGATGCGCGCGCACCTGAGACACAAAGTTGTATGTGTGATTATAGCGTGCGCGAGCGAGATGGGAATAAGACAATCTACAAGTAAAAAGAAATAGAATATGCGTGAAGTTAGCAGCTATGCTAAGAATTTTGAATGAACATAATGACATTTACCTTTTAAACAAATAAAGGAGTTTTAATTATTTTTTCAAAGAAATTTAGCAATGCTTTTTCACAAAGACCTATTGTTACTTAGTTGAAAGGTTATGAAACATACCTAGTTATTAAATTGAATGAATAATATAATAAAATAATAAATAATAATAATAATTATTATTATTTTATTAATTAATTTAATATAATATATATTTAATTAATAATTGAATAATATACTAAATATTATTAAATTATTAACGTTAAATATTTATTATTAATTATTTAATATTTTTAAAAATTAAGAAAGCCAAAGAAGTATAACTTCTTACGCGCGTACCTACATAAGTACAAGCACCCTTTTTTATTATTATATTATACTTATATATACAGATTTGAATATACTAATCAACAATGCATGTAAATACTGTATAATTGATTCTCTAAAGATTTATAAATGGTGTAGTAATATCATAGTTGACACACTTCGAAATGTAAAATGATGAACTTGACTTGTTTCCGTGAACATAAATTGTTTTTAATTAGGAGTATTGTAGCTATAATAGAGTACACGAACAACTTAAAAAAGCACACGTTTGTTTTTTGTACCTTTACGTTTTTACACTGCCTTGTGACAATATTTTTTTTAATCAGGAATTAGCAGGAAATGTTGACCTACGATGTCTGTCTTATCTCAAAATTTAGTTAATTTTCAGTTGATATAATAACTGATAAATATTCCTAGTCAACTCTTAGACTCGCCATGATGAGGGCACGATCTCTGCCCTCTTGTGATATGCATTCATAAATCCTTTTTCTCTTTGATAGTGATGTTTTTGATTGACTATGCTATAGAGTTTTTTATACGGCCCATAAAGAACGTTGCCTACCTAAACTTCAATTAACGAAGAATTTATACTATCATTACCCTTATACAGGTTGTCCCATAAATCAACGTAAAGCCAAAGTCGGATTTTAGGGCAGGTACTTTCTAGACCCGAAAATTAATTAAATAAAAACGTTTTTAATATTTTATTTACACTATGGAATTCGGATTAAATCCGCGATCTTTTAATGTCACTTCCTAACATTGCATATTACATTGGAAATTCCAGTTGGATGTAAAAATAGAACGTACATTTTTATATAATCGAAAAAGCATCAGCCGACGCAGAACCGTTACTGTTAGTACTCTAAAGGTATGACATAAAAAATAAAGAATCAGTTGGAAACCTATCAATTATATTCCTTAATAAATATATAAAAATATTGTGTATCTTATTCAAACTGGCGTATGTTTTAGTAGAATCAAACGTAAGTAGTACTTAGTTGATTTAACTCCAGATTACATCCGCATCACCTGGAAGCCTTCCACGGTCAGCTTCGCTAGGCAATTATTTTTGAACTGTGGAATCTGCTCTCTTTTTAAACAATTTGTCTTAGGGGATACGATCTCCAATTGTTTAAAAAGAGAGCATACTCCTCCTCATAGACCGCAAACCACCGCCTTTATGGTCCCTAAGGCTCGTTTCGCCCCTTCCATTAAAAAATGCCATAGAGATTGCGTGTTGTAAGTATAGGATAGTAACCATGCGCCACACAGACCGACCCCCAGACTTCCCGCGTCACTTTAAGAAGTTGCCCCATCGCGGGGTCTGTAAATTGATTTCTCAAGAATAAAATAAAAAAGGGTTAGTAGCCATGTGAATAAAAGTTGAATATTGTGATGTACGAATTGGGAAAGCATGGCCCAATCGCGCGCACAAAATCGCGGGAGCGAATAAACTATTTTTTCCGTTCTTTCTTCAAAAAACATCATTAAAACCTCGTTTACATTCGTAATTCAAATATAGGGAAAATCACATATCTCGGATACGTTTTATTTCATCATCGATACGACTTGTCGCAGCTCATAATGAAGGGATAAATTCAAGGCAAGGCGGCTGGCAGAAGGAAGAAGTGGCTGCGGAATGGACCATCACTTCCGACGAGGAACTGTTTACACTATATTATATATACCCAGCAATTGAAGCTGTTAACGTTGAAAAAGAATTCAAGTATGGCGATAATAAATCGTGTGTCTATTCTGAATTTAGTCTAAAGTATAAAGACAAAAGCTGATTTCATATATGAATAAATCTTTATAAAGGATCTGATGGGTAAAGGATCGGATAGCTTGAATGTAAAATAATATTTGATAAGGATAAGATCGGGGTGGACTTGAGACGTTTACGCATACTATGTAAAGCTAGACGAACGTGAAAGTCACAGGGACGGAGTTGTTGAAAATTTCATCACAGCTTTGGACTGTAAATAAAATTGGAGTATCAAATTCTAGATTCTCACTTACTATAGCTTGTCATTGTATAAGTTTAGATTTATTTTTATTGTAAGTAAAAACTTAAGGAAGTACCGGGTATCTTAACACCGCAAATTTAAAGGAAAAGAAAAGAGTGTGTGTATAGAAAAAAGCTTGTAGTGAATGAAAATCAGGAGTCAAAGTTGCTTACAAAACTTTTGTTATTCTACATCTATACTGAAGTCTGAATTTGATCAACATGGACAAGATCTTGAAGTTTAGGTATACCTATTAATTGGTATCTATCATATAATGATTAATAGAGAAAATGGCTCTAAGCGTCGTGGAGATGTATTACTTAAAAGTTGAATATTGTTGCTGATCCTTCATAACGGTTTAACGAATGAAATAGGTAGTTAAATAAATTTTATAATGAAAAGAGTTAGATAGTTACCCAATGAATCGAATTTAGAGAATGAATTTATGTGATTGATTGACGATTTTTGACAACGACATCCAAAAAAGAAATAAATTTAATAAATCAAATTCGAACATCTGTGTTTTGCTTGGTTGACTGATCAAGTTTATTATGTCTACCCACATTTTTGGTGCTGTTCTGTTTTGTAATTTTATATATGTACCTACATCTGTGCGCTCTAATTTATAATTTTTAATCTTAGTTTTAAATATGTGTTTCTCAGTAAGTGAATTTTGTATGCAATTCTTATGAGAAATAAAGTTATTCTTAAACCTAAACCTAAAAGAGCCTTATTTATATACAGGGTAGAGTATAGAAATAAATGAATTATCGTTTAATACATTTAATTCTCTAGGTAAAACAAAACTAGTCAATAGAAATAAGAAATATTGTTATCTAATTTTTGTGTATTTTGAAATCGCTTCAATATAAAAAAGGAATTATTGGAACTTATGTTATTAATTATGTATTCACAAAAAAATTTACATCATCCTTACCTACAGTACTAAGCCAATACGATAAACTCGAAAAAATAAAATATATAATATTAAATACATAATATACACAATATCGCTACTGTGAACTCACTCTGCGAACATATTATAAAGATGTGGTAGTTATGGTGACCGCATTCAGTATGCGAAACATCTTTATGAACGGGGATATGTGCATCAGACTGGTTCTGGCCCTTGGTATCGCAAACAACCTTGGCCTTGAAGAACACTTGAGTTGCTCACCACCACACATACTTGAAGTAGGCCAACGGTAATTCTCGTCTTATTTTAATTGTATTGTTTCGAGTGTCAAAGTTCGTCTCTGCCTCAAGGTTGATAAGGATAATCAGTGTATCAAAATGAAGGAAATTATTTGTCGGCGACTTGGGAATTAGGATTACAATAATCTGCCGCATTATGTAAAATTTATTAATAACTTACTGAGGTCTCTTAATTTTGTCATAAGGGAGTCAAAGCTCATGCTAAGTATCAAGGCTAAATCTTTCCAGGCCTTTAGACGAAGGTTATTGCGGTTTTCAACAATTTACAATTAGTGATCAAAGTACCAAGAGGAATATTTTAGATAAATTTTATACTATGTGGACATATAATGAACATAATATTATTATCATCGTTAATATTGTTATTGATGAAACCACTTTATTATTTACATTTCACGGGGTGGGCCGCTGATTACATTAATAAAAAATAACATATTTACAGACTTAGCCATTGATATACAAAAAACCCAAGATGCACACTCAACGTCAAAAAAACGTCCTCAAAAAATGAGCGCAACATTCTAAATTGTGCGCTCATTTCAAATAGTCTCGCGTCTACAAGTGGAGTCGATGTTATTTATTTGTGTTTTTTTTATAAATAAATTTATGTACTCTTGAACTTCTTTGTGTGTAGTTTTTGACAAATATATTTACGCTATATAAAGTGTGGGTCAGGAGGTAGCCAATTTAACATTTTTTTTTAATTTAAAGAAAAAACTTTTTAACCGGATTAAAGTTATGTATTATTATAAATTGACAACTATTTAACATCCAACACCTTTTGTCTTCAGTCACCGTGACCACTCACGCTGTAAAGCACCCGAAAAGTCGGATAAATTTAAAATTATGTTAAATAGTTGTAAATAAAAAAGTCATGTTCGACTCCACTCAATACCTTGTCCTACCGACCACGGTCGGTCGTAAAATTTTATTGCTTTAAGTACGTATACGCTGCGTTGTAATAACAACTTTAAGCAATTCGCGTAAGGTTGATTTTGCAATAATATATGCTTGTAACATATACTGTTATGGACAGAAATATTGTTTCGGGACACTTTCGAGCGTTACTTTTATATGAGACTGTGCATCTTGGGTTTTTTGTATATCAATGGACTTAGCATAATAATAACTAAGCTACAACAATAACATTTAAAAATATATATTCTTATTATTACTAATCGTTTAAACAGATAAAACGGGGTGTCTCCTCCCCTTTAAGCCAAGACAGTTTGCTAGTTAGTTGAGAAGATATCGATTGTCTAGAAGTTGCACAAGGAATTATCTTCAGTTTCCAACCTGTCGGTTCTGTGACGTATAGCCGATGATCCTGAATCCAATAGTGACCAATTCTCCCCACACTCCACAGAGTATTTCTATTTCACCTCACAGCTATTTTTTATAAATTAATGGACGGGGTTCCATAATAAAGTTTTAGATTTTTTATATTTAGTACATAATTTATACATGTACATTATAGACTGTATTAAGTATATTGTTTATAAAAATTATTTACAGATTAGATCAAGCAGCCTGCCGGTTTTTTACTCGAATGAACCTTAATTACCTGTAAATATTAATAATGTCAGCTTAACTATCAATATGGGCTAAGTTTTTGAAGTAAAATTAAAAAATATTAGTTATCAGTAGTCACTGTCAAGTAGGTCGTAGCAAATAGGGTGTCACTGTCATTGTTACTGATGATGATTGATGACGGTTGCCACTTGCCATTACTGATTAGTGATTACATATGAACTAGTTGTCTCTGCCATTTGAAATTGATGTTTATGCTATTTATTTGGAAAATTGAAATAGAAACATATTAATGGAATCAAAGATTTATTTTAGTCTTATTAAATTGATTGGTAATTTCCTTGAAAATATTTTGTTGTAATGGCGTCAACATCTAAAGATAATGTGCAAAACTCCTGTAGTCATGATAATCCTGAAAAAGATCTCGAACCAGGTGCATCTCACGACAGCATCTTGAATCCTACGGATTCTTTTGAGGAGTTTGCTTCTGAGATGAACACAAGTCTTGAAGGCAGACCTACAGATGTGACAAAAAAATCCAGTACAATTAGTGAGATTCAAAGTGAAATTGGTGAATGCTCAAAGGAACTAAAAGAAACTAAATCTAGCGAAAATTTGCATAATAAAGATGTAAGTCTTCAGAATACTTTGACAGAATCGTGTATTTCGCGTCTTTAATATTACAGTTGACTTAATACTAATGAAACAACTAAAATAAGAAGATAGAAAAACCTACTACAATGTTATTAAGTGGGCGGTTTTATTGTAGTACTGCACACTTTTAACAATCATTAACATACAAAAATAATAATAACTACAAAAGATTTTAAGTTTTTTTATATATTTGATAATTGCAGGAAGCCATATCCTCTTCAGTAAGCAATTCAAACTTACAAGAGGAGAATGGTGACGATACAGAAAGTGAAGTGGATGACTATTTAAAATCACCAGAACTAGTTAATAAAGAGAAACATGTTTTTATACTGAGCACTGCTGGAAAGCCCATTTATACAAGGTCTTTAATAAATTTTAAATTGCACATACTACAAGCAGACTCTGCATGGTTACTTTAGCAACACAAATTTTTCATTAACAGTGTATAGTTTCAATTACATAATTATTAAAATTGTCAGATTGATTTATAAATAAACTGATACAAAACATTTAATCGCTAGGTTACCATGTGTAATCTTGAAATAGCTAAATTTTTTAGAGATGTCGCACATAATAAGTGTAAACTTACCAATCTGCTCTAATCAATTATAGTATATTAATGATTTTGCTATTCGGGTGTATTTGTTCATAGTTACAATTGTCTCTAAATCATGGACAAAGTTATATTTGAGTGTATAATAAATTTATATGTTAATTTCAGATATGGAAATGAAGATAAACTAGCCGGCTTATGTGGAGTAATCCAAGCTTTAGTTAGTGTTGTTGAAGAACAAAATCGAGATATTTTAAGGTCCATCATCACGAAAGACTGCAAGGCGGTGTTTTTAGTTAAAGGACCGCTTATATTAGTAGGCATGTCAAAATCTAATGAGAGTGAAACACAATTAGTTTTACAGTTAACGTAAGTGTACATAAATTGTCTATAAAATAATAAATTGATACAGTTATTTAATCTACACAAAAATTCATGTATTTTTTAAGATGCTCTGCAAATGAATGGAAAATTACAATATGAAAAGTCTTATTTAAGTTTGTTTAATACAATTTAACTAAATCATTATAAAACTTTATTATGACAGTACTAAAGCAATCAAAACACAGTTGTTTTAGTATTTTTTTTTCTTTCTTTGCTAATTCCCGAAATATGTATGGATGACAATATGTCATCCATACATATTTCTACTGTGCTAGTAAATAGATATTAGTTCAGCTGTGATATGGGGCATCTTTAGGATGTGGGTGGGTGGAAGTTTTTTTTTGTTGATTATCCGCATTATTTCTATGGATTTCAACTATAAGAAGATTGAAAGGTGGTCTACTTGCAATAGCTACAGGTGCACATTGGGAGTCACTATGTACGGCATAGCTTGCTTCTGGGTCACAAAAAGACTTAAAATGGTGTTTCATGAATAGCTTGATACATGGAACAGCATGAAGATAGATTTAATTTATGATTTAAATTCAGCATCATTTTTCCATAAGGCCTAAACACTGACACCAACCAATCAGTCTACCTTACTTCCATCTGCATATAGCTCTACTGCTGGAGGATATATAGGATAGCCTAGGACGCTCTTATTCTGTACATACCATATTTTTTTTATAATATATATAGGATTTGAAACTTTAGGAGGAAACTTTTTGTTCCCGGTTACCTTCCAATTCAGATTGAATTAACCCTCTCAGTTTTGAAAAACAGTTGTATAGCAGTGCTATATTTGACTGAATTACTTTTAATAAATAACAGGCTGACTCTTAATAAAAAGTATTATGTAACAAACTTTATCTTCTCAGAAATATATTATAAATGAAATTTAATTCTTCATACTTTATCAATTTCAGATATGCTTTCAACCAAATTGTCTCAGTATTAACGCTAACACAACTAAACCGAATATTCGAGCAGCGTAGGAATTACGATTTACGGCGATTACTGTCTGGTGCTGAGCGACTTATAGACAATTTACTAATTTTCATGGAGAAAGACCCAGCATTTTTACTTGGAGCTGTCCGGTGCTTACCATTGCCAGAGAAAGTTAGAGAGAATATCACAAATGCTATAATTTCCACATGCCACAAAATAAGAGATTTAGTATTTGCTATACTGATAGCCGGAAATCAATTAATAACATTAGTTAGAATGAAAAAGTATACATTACATCCGTCAGATATACATTTACTGTTCAATTTGGTACGGAGTTCTGAGTCATTCAAAACTGCTGAAAGTTGGACGCCAATTTGTTTGCCAAAATTTGATGCAACGTAAGATTTTTACTTTATTGCAACTTTTAGGCTTAAGCAAGCAAAATCATTTATTTGTAAAAAAAATGTTTAATAAGTAACAACATTTCTTTTTAATGAGACTTCTATATTATTATAGTTTTTTTTAAATCACGCAGTGTTCAGCTCAAAACAGCCTTTCCACTAAATTGTGCATCTAATTCTTTTCAATATTGAAATATATGGTTGTGGCTTTTTATTCCTATTTTAATCAAATATCAGCCATGACATAACAATAAATCTGCTTTTCAGGGGGTTTCTTCACGGCCATGTATCATACATATCTGAAGACTGTCAAGCCTGTCTATTACTTCTTACGGTACAACGTGACGCCTTTTATCCACTGTCACAAGCCAAGCACACTATATCAGACAAACTGAGACGATCAAACTGCCTTACAGCAATCAATGATGCTTTGAACAGAAATAAAGATCTCACAACCACTAACCCTCTTAAACATATAGGGATTCCGGAAATAAGACACTTTATGTATAAATGCAAATCCACAGCTCAGTTATTTACCTCTGACCCCATAAGTTTGGATCGCTTACAAGATTATAGACAGAGGCACAAAGAAGGGGGTGATGTTGTTAAGAATAAGGTGGAGAAACTATCAGACATGGATTATGTGAGGAATTATAGGGAATTTTGTAGTAAGATACATTGTGCACAATCACCAGCAAAGTTGATTTTCCGGTCCAATTCTGAAGATACTATCTTGGCTTGGGTGAGTATTTAGCGGTAGAGAACAACTCAGATTCTATTATTTTCAACCTTGTCTATATTTAGAATTTCTACCAGCTAAGACAAATATTTATATGGAGATAAGAAGAAGAAAAAAATATTAGTTCTTTTTTATTATACTTTACAAGATATTTATTGAAATAAAATATAAATAAGTGTTAAGGTTGGTTAATAAAAGATGTACATTACATTTCAAAATATTATTTTCAGATAACAAATGGTTTTGAGCTGTATGTAACATTTGATCCACTTATGGAAAAAGATCTAGCTATTCGGGCTGTGGACAGGTTATTGAGATGGATCAAAAATGAAGAAAAAAGGATATTTATTATGAACGCGCCTACGTTTTAGGCCTTTATGAACTAAAATTTTATCAAATCTCAATATCGCTATGTTAATCTGACTTGCCAGAGTTATAGTAAGCTATACTAGAATAACTTAAATTTTTTTAAATAGTTATTCTAGTAACTAGATACTAGTTAGTCTCTTGAAGAGCTTCATATAGTTCAAAATCAATATTGGTGTATCCTAGTAAAATTAAATATTAAACCGTTTACTCCCCATTACTTACATATTAAATAGGAAACTTTAAAGGATTGCAAAAAATTTGTGAAATAGCTTCTCTAAAAAAATCATTATTATTATTGGGAGATGTTAGACACTAAATAAAACATATAAATGAAAAATATTAATATTTCAATATTAAATAATATACTCATGACTTTTATCACAACTGGTGTGTGCTGCATCAGCTCTGCAAAGCTCCAGTATTTGAATATAGCTAAAAGCAAAATTATATTTTGTGATATTACATATAGAATATAGTAGAAAATTTGTATTTAGAGAAATATGTACAAAAGTTGTTGTAAATTTTACATATTTTTTTTAATTTCATTTAGACTTGGGTAATGTAGAGTGTTTTAACTCATGTGGGTGCAAGCAATTCAAAGCTTTTAATCAATTATGAATTAATACTGTTTACAAGGCAGTCTTTATTTTTTTGACTTAATTATAATAATTTATTTTTACTGAATATAATTTTAATATGCATAAATCAGGATTGTGTATTGTACTCTGTAATGATTAGTCTTTTTTAAAATTTTGTGATTTCTGTATATATTGTAATGCAAAATAAATGAAACAATATTATGTATATAGTTATTAAATTGTATTTTTAACTACTTGATTGATTTTATTCTCCCAACATTCATGTGGCGCTATAGTATAGTTCATCAAAAATATCTTAGTATATATTTGGCTTTAGTATTTTTTTTAACAGTTGGCTGCTGTTATATTATGAATTGATGCTTTTGGGTTATGGGACTTCAAACATATAACAGGCATGTCTTAAAAATAGGTTATGCATATGAATTTATTCTGATTCATTTTTGGTTTTAACAACCATTTTAGAAACAATGAAAAAAACACTGTTACTTGTAAGACTTTATTTGACATTTAACTAAGATAATTTTAATATCGGCCTCTGTCTCTTCTCCTTTCAGGTTCATGGCGATCTCTTCTATCTTTAACCCGTTCTCTTTCTCTTGGTCGTTCTCTCTCCCTTTCACGTTCACGTTCTCTTTCACGCCTTCGGTCGCGATCTCTACTTCTTGAACGATCTCTTTTATGATCTTTTTCGCGTCGATCATTAATTATTTTAAGTCGGTCACGCGATCTAAAAGTATTAATTAAGGTTAAATTTGTTTTCAAATATAGTCAATATAGAGCGCTAGATACTTTCATCAATTTATGCACATAGAAAATAGGACCTATTTTGAAAAATATATTAATAGAAATTGCATGTTTGTATATAGTCCTTAAGTTATGATATGTTTTTTTCTGTCTATCTACTGTATCTTTAAAAGTGCTAATCAGGTTCCTTTGTGTTTTTTTATATAAAAAAGTAAAATTAGAGCAATATTTTGACTTTGTTTCATTATCATAGAAGTAACTTGCATTTAAAGATAAATTATTTTTTGGGTTAAAAATTACAATGTCTAGAAAGTAATTTAAAGTTTACACACAAGAAAACAATATTCTGTGTCTTCTAACCACCTTAAAATTGTTGAACTAGTTAATACTAATTAAAAACATTACACACATTAAATTAAATATTTGCCGAGTCTCTAGATTTGTAAAACAAGGATATATAAAAAAACACAGACCCAATTACTGTCACAAACTTTGGTTTTGCTTAAGATAAGTAAGTTAAGAATTAAGTTTTAAAAATATATATAGTATGAAATCCCTCTCTGTAAAAAATAATCATATTTCTAATAAGATGACGATGAGCTATGTAACTTACCTATCTCTTCTTCTTTCTCTGTCCTTCCTATCACTCTCTCTCCTGTTCTCTTTGATTTCTGGCTCTACAATATCTTCATCTGAAGGCATTTCCTCATCTAAATCGTCATCTAATGCTGAAACCTTAGGATCTAATTCATTGTTTTCTTCTAAGACATGTCTTTTTTGTATTCTCGGTAAAATTACATCACACAAGCGTTCTTCACGTAATAACTCGTCAATAAATTCATCCATGTGGACTATTTCATACTGTCCTTGGCGATTTTGCCGCCGTAATTTCCTATTATCATTATACAAAGGCTCAAGATACTTATAGCAGTCAACTGAGGAACCTGTAAGTCTCATGTAAAAGGCACCCAATCCACGGACGTACTTAAATTCTTCGTTTTTTATAAATTCAACGACAATATCTTTCTCTGGCTGAATTTGTAACATTTTTAGCACTAAACACAAAAAAGGAGTGGGGTAAATAAAACCCCCGTGAACCCCGCCGACATATCGCAACTCCATGGCTTTGTCGACTAGTAATTCGGCTGTTAATGCAAAACATTCTTCTTTCCAATATTTAGAATCGTAAATTCGAGATCTAATAATCTTTTCAATTAAATATTGAGGATTTGTTCCTCGAATTGATTTAGCGTCTTTCACTGTTCGATTCGCCATTTTTGACAAATGACAATTGTCAATAAATAATAATATTTCATTTTTAATTATTAAATTACCAGTTTAGCAAAGCACAAACTCCCAAAAACTCGGTAGAAATATCCTGTGTCAAGCTTGGATAGAAATATCTTATTTGAATACTCCTTAAAAGAAGTACTTAAAAGCCTCTTCTCTTAAACAATAATAATTATGAAGAAGTTATATACCTTGGCGATTAATATGACATATATGGCAAGTTGGTCAAATTTTATTTTTATTTATCGTAATAGATTTTGATGCAAATATTATAAAAAGTAAGTAATATTTCGTACAATATTTTTGTAGGGCACACGGGCAGGATGCTCACCTGTAGTGATACCGCCACTCATGGACATATTACGATATGAAACGTTCTTTTCTTCAGCTTTTCTTCAGTGGTTAGCTGGTTCCACATAGCGTCGTGCGAGGCAAAACCTGCATAAAACGCTCAGTTGTGGAACCACGGATGTCGAGATGATACTGGTGGAATTTCGTATTTTACCTAAACGTCCGATCATGAAACTCAGCTGCAGTTCTTACTCCAAACAACTCGTCTAAACACTCTGCGTGGTAAATGCAGTAGAAGATCGAGATAGACACCACATCCAAGAGATCAAGCCGCTCGGATAGTGTGGTCGTTGACGATCCACATCGCTCTTCTCTGATTACGGTCAAGTGGAATGAGCTGGAACTGGGGTGCTCCAGCTCAGAGGTGAGAGCAGTACTTCATGTGGCGCGAATTCGCGCTTTATACAGTTTTAAGCGATGGCTTGGACTGAAGTACCGTCTCGCCTTGCTGCGCACACCAAGCGAGAGATTGGAGAGATATTTAGCCTTTCCTTCCAAATGATCGCGAAACTGAACGTCGTTTGATATGACAACGCCCAGTACCCCGATACTGGCTGTAGCTTTAAGGAAAGTGTGTTCGACGAGAGGAGTATCCATCAAGTTTTATTTTTCATAAAAAAAATAACAAATAATCTCATTTGTTTTTAAGTATTTTCTAGGCATATTCAATTATGAGTTATCAAACTGACGTATAATGGATAATCGAACTGATTTTATACTCTTCGATAGATAGCATGTATGTCTCTGTCAATTGTCAATATAGGCGCTGGCCGCAGATTATTGATTGTCAGGTCACCATTGTTAATATAGTTTATAATTTTAAACTTCAGATTTCAGCCGTTGCCGGTTGTATTGAGTTTAATTTTGTTTAAATATATTCGGTAATCTGAATTCTGACAATCTTATATGATTCTGTAATAATTTTTTTGAGCATCATATGTTTGTATTCTGAAATGCAAATATCAAAGAAAAAAGCCGTTGACGAACCTATGGATGTAGATGAGACTCCGTCTCGTGAAAACAGAGAAAACCGTAACAACGATGATGAAATAGATCATATATCTGATGATGAGGAAGGGGGTGTGCGTATAGGTGATATTTACATACCCCCCGCTCCCAGACCGGCTCTTACTTTCGATTCTACCGGACCAAGGCTTATCATAACACACATTCTAAACGAAAACTTTAAAAGTTATGCGGGTGTGCAAAAACTTGGCCCTTTTCACAAGGTAATACGATTATCAAAAAACTTTAAAAGACCTAAAGAATTTTTTGAATTTTATTTCACAGTGTCTTACTAAAGTTTGTTTTTTACTAGATAAATTTACAAACATCATGTTTTATTAAGGTTTATTTAGTTCCTTGTTAAAATTACTAATGTATAATACAATTTACAGAGTTTCACAGCTATCATAGGACCAAATGGAAGTGGAAAAAGCAATGTTATAGATTCTATGCTTTTTGTGTTTGGTTATCGAGCCAGCAAGATAAGATCTAAGAAGATATCAGTACTGCTACATTCATCAAGCAAATTTCCGAATGTGAATAGTGCTACAGTATCTGTGCATTTTTGCCAGATCATTGATGGGGTAAGTAATAAAACTAAACTTATCTTAATTTATATAATAATTATTATTATATTATTTAAATATAATATAATACATAATTATAACTACTCTATTTATACTTTACTAGTTAAAATATAGTAACATAAACTAAAGATATGTATATACAAAACTTAAATTACACTATTTTCTTATGGAAAATAAAAATGTATCTATACTTCTAGTTGCTTCTGACGAAGTTTATTTTTTATCAGATCATAAAAAAAATCATAAGTTCTGAATGGATTATACAGATGTTCGAACAACTCTTCACATGGTCCATTATATAAGATGTTAACTTGTTTATTTTCTATAGCAGCTCTACAATACATGTTGCATAATCCTGCATGGGTTTTAAAGTCACTCCCACATATATCAGGTTCTGTAGGGCAAGGACATTGTCCAGGATCCAATTCTTGTGGCTTTGTTGCCACTCCTATTAATAATACACTTACTGAAATCAAATAAGTAAAATATTTAAGTAACTACTATTGAAACAATTACATATATTTTTTGTATGGACATAATGAGGCATTGGGCAGACACATTTCTGTATTGTTGTCTTAAATATTTTTAATGAGAAAAATTATTTATTTTCAAGTTGCAAACAAAACAAGTGCTTTGTCATGTATTTTCAGCACAATTTTTTGTGATAATAAATTTATAATTAATGCATTTAAATTGCAATACATCAAACATACGTCTGTATTTTAAGTAGGATAATCATGAAAAAGTGAGATAATTAACATTGTAAACTTACCAAATACTAAAATTGTCTTCATATTGTACAAATGAGTGTGGATGTGACTTCACAACTGTAATACAATGAAGATTAGAAGTTCCTTTATACTTTATTTTACATCCATTTCCAATGAACCATATTAAATATATTAATAAAATTGTGTGACGCCGTTAACCATGATGAATTTTTAATGAAATTTTTATATTATATGTGAACCTTGCATGTGTACTATTTAGTTATTATTTTTAATGAAGTTATACAATTTGGGATTTTTAATTAAATATATTTTCTTATACCTACAATTTTACCTAAATAGGATATTAATTAACGGTAAGAAGCACGGCTGTATCGCCGTTAAGTCGAGATTTTATCACGAATTCTTACTGGCGTGTTAAGTCTACGTTATAACGTAACAAAAAACAGGGATGTCAGATAGTGAAAAATAAGAACTTGCCTTTCATTACCTATAACAAAGTTTCTATACGCTTCGCTAACCTTAAGATTCAGAGTCGAGTCTCATCGTGAACTATGACTCCGCGTATGATAATAATTTCCTTTTTCCAGTTCTTTCCAGACAACCCAAATATAAATAACATAAACATAAAAAATAAAATACAATACATAACTTATAACTTTACTACTTATTATAAAAATACCTACAGGTATAAATCTCAAAGTTGATGGATTAGCCTGATGCCTGAGCCAGATGTTTCTTACGGTATTCCGTGATATGATTAAATTTACGGATTTCATAAATTAAACTTCTAAACGGAAAAAAGGACGGATATAGGTTTTTATTAAGATCACAATAGCATATATCAGCGTAGTCTAAGATAGGAAGTAAGAGAATCTGTGCAAACATAAACATAACAGTCGTTAAGAGGCCGTCGCAGCTCCTTTTTTTACGTAACTATGTGCACAATTCAGGGTAAGGTCCGATCAAGATATATCCCCAGATTATTGTCAGAGGACGCGAATGGTATAATAATTCCGTTGAAAGTGAACGTAGCCAGAGTATCCCACTCGATACTCGCCACTTACCGAGGACTACTGATTTCTAAACATTGTATCTTAGAAGGAATTAAAAGCAAGCCAAAATCATCACACCAATCTAGGATGTGTCTCAAATCAATATACGTACGACGCAATTAGTAAGGTTTGCAATGATTGTAAATTTGTAAGATGTCAGCATACATGTGGTAAAGCGAAGAGATATTTGTTGAAGTAGAATTTATAAAAATTTGGAAAAAAGTAAAGGCGAAAGAATACTGCCCTGAGATACCCCTGCAACAACATAATACTACTAGGATGATAGCGATTCGTCAACTTTGATACGCTGGCGGCGTCCAGAGAGGATGCTACCAAACCAAGCGAGAGAATTGGAGGATACATTTTTTTGTCTTAAGAATGCAAAGCAGTCGTGATCAACAGTACTGAATGCATTGATGAAATCCAATAAAGTAAGGACCGTTAAAAATAGGTTGTCCATACCTGAACTAATGTCATTGGTTATTTTCGTTAAAGCGGTGACTGTACTATGACCCGGACGAAAACCAGGTTGAAAGAGATTGAAAAGATTCTTTCTGTTTAGGAAATAGCCAAATTGCTCAAGGGTAATAAGAAAGCGTCCTTCCACTTGGCAGGAAATACTCCTGAAGAAAGAAAAAATAAGAATGAACAGGAGTAATCAACTGCGTTGGAGGAAATGGAAACAATAACCTTTCACATGAAAACTTGGGAAAATTAGGTGTTGGTAAATGTGAAAGAAAATTTGGTATGGCTTTCTTATAAATGTAAAATACAAAGGATTAGAAAAATCATTGTTAAGTGAACCAAAGTTAATGTAAAGGGGAAGATGATTAATAATTGAGAAGATTGCATACATTTTCCAACACCTAGAGATTATACTATAATGTTTAAAGGGATCACAGATTATATAGTTTAACAGATTTTTCTATAAAGCCCGCCGCTAAGCATCCCGACAAACTGTCTTGTACCGAGTATATATTCCTTTCGTACATTAAATTTTTCTTCATTTGCATTAAATCAAATAATCGACCCGGGATCATTAATTACAGGAATGTGTGGAATTCTGTAGACATTTTTAAATTTTGGTACAAGCAGTGGTAATTGAAATATCACCGACTGAATATGCTCGCTTAGTTTTTTTAAGAACACCTAGAATACGTCTACCAGCCCTGCATTTTGTTTGGTCAGTGTATAAACTAAGAGATTTCTTAATTATTTATTTTTACTGCAATAATTTTTGAATAAAAATACGTCTGAAATAATAAAAACGCAGTGATTTTAATGTCTTTAATGATTTAATGATATTTTATTTTCCTATCGTGGTTTTACGCCTGGCTTAGAGAATGGCTGTACATGAGGAATTTTTTTAAAAATTAAATTATTGTAATAGTCTTCACAACTGCCGTAGAACAAAATGTACAGTTTCATTCCCTTATTAATGGACGCGCATCTCATGTTACAAGCACCGGCGTAGGTTTGCAAGTCGCTTGCACATAGTAGTGGCCCCGGTGCGCAGGTACATAAAAATCCATTGTTATTTCTATTTGCGCTTGATAAAACCAGAGATGAAAGTGCCACTGAAATTATTTTAATATATATTAATTGATGAGTTAAGTTAAGTGATCGAAGTATAGTAGGTATAGCGTCCGTTTAAATCAATGCACTTGTGCCTTCTAGCAGGTTATAGGGTGTCCAAAGGCGAGAGCTCCGTTAATAGTACAAAGTAAACCGCTTGCTACTTTGTCATATGACTTAGAAAATAGAACAATTTTTAATAATGTTGAGAAAATAAAAAGATAATTATGAAATTTTATGATTTTTTTTGTTTTAATTCCTTCGAATGAACTAACCCTTATTAATTTAAAATTATTATAAAATAAAAGTAACTTACCACACAAAATTATCACTTTCATATTTCCTGTATATCACGGCATATAATATTTTTACGTTTATTGAGTGGGTTTTTATATAATCGACACAATATACGTTAATGTTAAATTACTAAGCGTGTGATTGAAACAAGTGCGATTTGTTAGAATCGATTTGTCATGAGACCCTAATGAAGTAGTAATAACACGTCATAACAGACTTTACTTTAGACTGTGGCGCTATTTAAAAAAAATAGATGTCAAAAACATTAATGTTTAACCTTATTATGAAATATTCCAATAATTTGTATAGTCATTGTTATAATTTTTCAAATCGCTATAGTAATTATGTATATTATATTTTTAATTAATTAATTATATTATTAGTATAGTGTTTGCGCAACATTGTAGAAAAAGGATCATAATGCGAGCATGTTCTTTAGCTATAAGCATTTGATTTTAGTCTGATATGCTAGTATACAGTAAATGACCATGTCCTTTATCTTGTGGTTACGTGTCGATTATTTTATTTAATGCAATTTAAGAAACAATTTTTGTATATATACTCGTTACAAGATTAAAAATTGTGTTTAAAAAATATATAGAAATAATTAATAGGTAAATATATTTTTAAATACAAAAGTACCTTCTAAGTTATCAAAACTTCCTCTCAGCTTCGTCGGGTTTGTTCGAACACTTATAACTCGAGAACGGCTAGACCTATTTTCATGGTTTTTGTTTTGATGAATTTGTCTGCGTACCGAATTGCACAATAAGTAATAATATTTATAATGTCAATAAAGAACGTAGGTAGTACAAGGTTTGCCGGGTCAGCTAGTATATACAAAAAAGTTCGTGTTTTATTCATTAACGACGAATTAGCGTGTGACACAAACAGTTCGTTGTAAATAATATGAGAGCAGGAGCTGTGTGCATTATCTTAAAGTAAGTAAATGTAAATGTGTCTTCTTAATTAAAAAAAAAAATGTTTTTAGCAAACCTTTCAATTGCTTTTAATACGTTCTTACAATACGCAACCAAAACGCCGTATGTGCCTTGAGTGTCAAAGTTATAATTGTGTATTTTAAAATCGTTTGTGGTAAAGATTGTTATTATTAATTTACTCCAAATCACGCTGTTGAAGTAACTAATAAATAGAACAAATCGTACAGAAGATCAAAGAGTCTTTAATTTTATCACCGATGTCTTAAAGATTCTTTACTCTGACTTGATTAGTGTTAGTCTCTGAACTCTGAAATTCTGAAGTTGGGTGTTTGAAAACCGGCTTTATCAAATATATATTTTATGTGGGGACGTGTTTGTTCGGAAATTACAAAATATTGTAAAGAAACTGTGTATTACTCTTGTGTAACTTGAATTACTAAACGATATACCTTCATGTCCTTTTTTTGTTTTTAAACTTCGGTTTCAGAGTCTTACTCCATATGTCAAAAAGTATTGGATTTGACATACAAAGTTATACTTAACGCTAAGTCTCGATCCTAATTGTCCCATGATGTCAAGGCGAAGTTGGAATTAACTATCTTTTATTTAAATATACATAATTCGTAGTATTTATTTATTAAGACGTAATTTTAAAATTCCAGATTGCGGGAGTCAAAGCCGTACCTAATGTAATTTATGTACCTCATGACCAGATAATGTAAAATTAAAATTAAATAAAAAAATACACATTCCATTTTAATATTTTATTTTGCTCTAGTGTGATTTATGAGCACCCATCAATACGCATGGGTTGTAAATATCTAGCAGATTGCAGGGTTGGTAGGGATTGGGGTCCGGTTTCGGGAGTAGATCTTCACACGGGCCATTATATATAACCACTGGAGGGTTCAAGTTGTAAAGGTTTTCGCATTTCAAGCTGCATTCACTGCTGTACGTCTTCCAGTCGCTCCCACAGACTGGTGACGTTGGTTTGCAATTAGTGCAAAATGGTGACATTGCCAAGGCAGCTCTAGCCATTCCGAGGATGGTTACTAAAAATATTAAAGAATTATGAAAATATGACAACTCCTTATATTGGCCTCAGGTTTCTGTATCTGTTTCGTAGTCATTCGTTTTTTCTTATGGGTAAGACTTGATATTCTGTGCCTGTGCTGTCGAGCTTTTGGGTCTAAGGCATGTTAGTTTGCCGGTCATATTTATATTACAATCAAGCCGATTTAAATTATATTTGCATAGAAAACTGCACGTGACAAATGAATAACCGATTTTCTTTTTAAAGTATAAAATAATTAAATAAAGAATGAACCGTACCTATCAAACGTAACAGTTTAATAACATATTCCTAAAGTATATATAAATTAACCTTTAATATAATCGGATCGTTTTAACTGGAGATTAAAAGTGAATTAAATACCGGATTGTTCCCTTAGAAAATAATTGGTAAAAACTCCAATAACGAACAAAATTTTCTAATTCTGAAATGTTTGATAATTTTTTCATTAAAAAAAAAACAATTGTGAAATAATTGTTGAATTATAGTTTAATCCGTCTATTTAAAATAGTTGTATTTAAATACCTATAAATCTTGATTCAACTGATATAGTTTGACACTAAAGGAATACAAAATTCACTTATTACACTTACCACAAGCAATAATCAACCTCATTTTGGTGTGAATATGTCTACTGGCTCAAGTTTAAAAAAGATTTTCTTTTTATAGGAGTTGAAAGATGTACGCAATTTTAATGCTGAATCAAAAGTCCGTAAATTTCATTATTAGGTTTATGGCCTATATAGATTTAATTGATTTTTCATACACATTAAATATACATTTTAATAAATATTTTATAGTTTTTCTTTAACTCCTTATTGTTTTATTTTGCATAGAATACATTTATTACAAAAATAAAATCTCCAGTAGTCCAACACTGACAAACACTTAATTATCCTTTTAGATGAAACTCTTATTATAAAATCAAAATTTCATTAATTCGCATAGATAACATAATGCACACTAATGAACGTCAATAAATTCATCTAAATTTATATTTACTGCCAGCAATCAAATCAATGGCTTTGAACAGGAAGTTCGCTTGGTAAATCTTCCGTCACTCTTTGCAATCGCTAAATTATTTTAAAATTAATATTTAAATAACATAATATAAGCTATATTTAGCCTCAATTAATTTATATACCTACTTAAAGAAAACACTTTTTTGATTGAAGCTATGTTTTATTATAAACTAATAGTTATATATTATTAACTTAAATTATAATTAAATTATAATTTTCTTTAAATGTGTAAAAGTTATGTTAATAAAAAACAATACTAATTTATATACGTTAATAAAAATGTGAAAATTTACGTTAACTTAGGCAAAAATATTGACTTTAGAAAATAAAGAGGTACTGAAAAAATTGGAGAATATAAATAAATACTAGACGCATAAGAAACGGACCTAATACATTTATCAATCTTCATTTCAGGAGGGCGATGAATTCACAACAGTCCCGAACACCGAGATCGTAGTGTCAAGAACGGCGTTTAGGGATAATTCATCTTATTACACGTTAAATGGTAGACGAGTACAATTTAAGGAAGTTGCCAGGATGCTGAGGTCACATGGAATTGACTTGGACCACAACCGATTTCTCATCTTACAGGTAACAACCTTTTATACCTAATGCCGGTCATACACACTACGGTCTACCGGAGAGGTCCACCTGTGCAGGTATGCCTGCGCAGGTAGACCGGAATGTGTGTGGGAATAGACCTGTGCAGGTTTTCGAACCTGCACAAGATCGAAAATCGATTCTTTCTAGTAACACCGTACGGTGTAACTGTGCGTGTATGCGTGTACTCCGGTCGCCTGCGCAGGTTGTTAAGATGGTAATCGGTTAAATAGTAATGATAATAGTTCAAATTTCCATTCATTTAATAAATTAACATGACTATATGTTTTCCTTTTCAATAACCAATGCTTACACCACTTTCTTCGCTTGGTTTTCGTATCATTTTTCTTCAAAATTAAAGCAAGACCTAGTAACGCCAGCGTGTCATCGTCCACATTCGATGTCATCGCAAAGAGAACTGAAGGCCGCTCCGATACACCGGAACGTCCCCATACACGCTACCATTATTCGGTTGACCTGCGCAGGCATACCTGCACAGATCACCTCTCAGTTAGACCGTAGTGTGTATGGCCGGCATAATGAACGTGTTTATTAACCGTTGCGTAGAGATTTGTAATTTCTTTGCATCTTATACCGCATTTACCATGGAGTGTTCAGAGTTGTTCGGACTAATACCTGCAGCTGAGTTTCATCATCGGACGTCAAGGCAGAATACGTAATACCATCCGTATCACCTCGACGTCCGTCGTTCATAGATATAGGGATGGTCGATACTTCTTGGGTTTCGATGTATTATAATAGAGTTAAGACAAAAACAATAATAAATAGAAATACTTTTACTCATTTTTATTATTTTCGTTGAGGTTCTTATCTTTTCAAACAATATGTTATCGCAGTATAGTTACACTAAACAAAAACAAATTAATAAAATTTACAAAATATGATGTTTTGGTATCTAATAAATATTTGTTTTTAATAAAATATAATTTTTATAATGATAGTATTTAATTACTTATTCTGAACTGGAGTTTAAGCATGGCCCATCGTGTAAGACGTAGAGTTTGACTCCTAATCTATGCGCGTCGCAATTCATGTCACATACTCCCGCATATGTTATATGGTTGCTTGCGCATATGTCGGGTTCTGGTGGACACATGCAAAAAAGTTCAGTACTCGCTGCTACACCAACGATCAGGAGAAAAGCTGAAAAAAATGCAGATATTCATTTTTTACGCAATTTTAAAGGTCTAACCTCAAAAAGCAGTAGTGGCCCAGTGTATTTAAATAAAAAGAAAAACAAAATAGGCGTTTTAAATTTATGTAGCAATCATTAAAAAAAAAGATTAGGGACTTCAATATGAAAAGCCAACACGAGGATGGAAAACTTAAGGGGAGTAGATTTTATTTGGTTTGATTTTATGGACAAATCAATCATGAACATTGTTTTTCCAGATTCATTAGTTTTTATCAAAAAAAGGCGTCGTATTTCTATTGAAGTATAATAATAGGCTAACACCGACCGTAATTGGCATAACCAAATTGAATTTAAATTACATGAAGAACATGTTAAGTTCGTTTTTACGTTTAATAAAACAAATTGAACAATAACCGAGGACTATTATTTTATTTATTGATATAAAAATACAATAAAATGGTATAGGTACGTTATAAATGAGCGAATTTTAACGTATGCATTTTTTAAATTTTTCGCATTTATATACAATTATGTATAATTTATAAAGTACTCGGAATAGTTGGTGTCATGGTGTTAATGAAATATCTTTTTTGCACCCCCCCCCACAAGTTAGATTCCCTTGTATGCTACGTACACATAGAAATGTACTAAAATGGTATTCATATCGCTACAGGAGCACACACATGTATAATATAAAAAAAAATCGGTGTCTAATTGTTTACTGATTTAGATTGATTGGTAATAGAAGTGTTGGCCTAATGGCTTCAGCGTGCGACTCTCATCCCTGAGGTCGTAGGTTCGATCCCCGTCTGTGCACGAAAGGACTTTCTTTCTATGTATGCATTTAACATTCACTTCAATCGAAGGAAAACATCGTAAGGAAACCGGCTTGCCTTAGACCCAAAAAGTCGACGGCGTGCGTCAGGCAAAGAAGGCTGATCACCTACTTGCCTGTTAGAGTACCAAATGATTATGAAACAGATACAGAAATCTGAGGCACAGACCTAAAAAGGTTGTAGCGCCAATGTTTTTTTTTAAATTGGTTAGTAGGCCGCGCCTCTAGAGCGGCGTTTAGTTCAGTTCAGGGATTAAGTTATTGACAGGTGGCGTGGATTTTTTTAAGGTAATTCTTAGTTAAATAATACAGGGTTTTAATATATTATTATACAGCTTAATTAACTAGTCTGGCTATAACTACTTTAAAAGGGCTGAAAACTGGATTTCATTTAGCCCAAACCTCAACCCTTTAGACTTCAAATTATGGTCAGTTTTAGAGGACTGCTCTAAAGGACACGGCGACATTGAGTCTCTTAAAAAATCTTTGAAGCAAGCAGTGGCGAAATTGCCCTTGCGTAAATCCATAGATTCGTTGCCAAACAGATTAAAGGTCTGTATAAAAGCCAAAGGTGGCCATTTCGAATATAATTTTTTATTTTTTTTTGCTGAGACTTTAATAAACATGTAGGTATAAATTTTAATAATATTACATTACTTTATTTAAAAAAATGAACTTATGTCTGGACTATGTATAAATAGTTAATAGATATACTTTGCACTCTTAGACATGGAGCGCACGCCACCGACGGAACCAACATGCCTCTGGGTTTCGATAGAAAGAAATATATAATAAATCAAGCTTCACCATAAATTTTGAAAATATAGGGAAACTTACCACACAATATAAACAGCTTCATGTTGTTGGATTGGAAAATACGATTTTACCGATTGAATCGTGGTTTATATACTGTCTCGATTTGTATATTATATTAATTATAATTTATTATATCAGCGTGAAATTGCTTATGCCAGTCATGGCTGTCATTACTGAAATCGATAATTTATTCTCAAAACGCACTCCAGTAGCGAAACTGCTGCGTCTGTGTAACAGCCATTTCGCAGTTACTTGCGAAACAATACCGACAAGGACGCAACTATTTCATCTAGCTATATATTTGAGCGAGACAAAACACATGCGAAACGTTGCCATACAACTTACAGTTTTTTCGTCGTTTCGCTGCCGCATGCGATTGCGTAGGTGTACTAAAGGCGTAACAAGTAACATACATAACGTCATGATCGTAGAACAATGTCGGATTTGAAAAAAAAGCCAAAATCCACTTTTTATCATATTTGGATACTACATTGACTAAATATTACGGCAACAATAAAATAAAAATCATGTGTTTTATATTTCAAATTAATAAGTCTGTAAAGTGACAGATTTGATAAACGCATGTGATTTTTCTAGAAAACGGTGTAATTTAATGTTATTATTTTTTTGTTTCAAAACAAAGCCTCTTGTTTGCTTGTATGGCAATTTTCATAATAACACGATATGAATTATAAGTTATGACAAAAAACTAACATGATTATATTATTTTGGAATGGCTGGCCTGTAAAGTTTACTATTTGTCAGATCCGTCACTATTCTACGACTATGATTAAGTTTGGCTAAGAAACTATTTAAAAAGTGATGTTTTTAAAATACTTAGATACGTACCATTGATTCGTCTATTTTTTTTGTATTACCTACAAGATAATCTTAATATATATAAATTACGTGTCACGTTGTTTGTCCGCTATGGACTCCTAAACTACTTAACCGATTTCAATCAAATTTGCATACCGTGTGCAGTTTGAACTAACTTAAAAGATAGGATAGCTTACATCTTCATTTATACCCGTTATTTTATTGCAAATTATTTGTTTATTATTTGACAGTCACAATTCTAATAGATGGCGCTGTGTTGAAAGTACCAACGTTTCACATAAGCTACAATTTAATGGCATAACCCCCAAAAAGCATGGTCCCCATGGGTCCCCATGACTGGTTTTCT